TCTCAACTAAATGTTGAGCAATAGCCATTCCATATTCATGGGGGGAAGATAGCATATTTTATCTATCTTACCAAGTCGTATTTTGGAAGGTACATGTTGATTAATTCTTGTTTCCAAATGCAAGGTTGTACGCCCCACATAACCAGCAGCACACTGGCAATTAAAATCATATACTAAATTACTCAATTTGATGTAGGGCAATACATCCTTTTTTGCGAAAAAAGACGGAAACACAGACCCAGTTCGAAAAATGCTACGTAAAGCAATTGATGGAAACAACCTTGAAACCGACTAGCTAACCTGCTTGATTAAGCCTTGACCCTATCCCCAATCCAGGGAATCTTCAAATACACCGACATTTAGAAGGCCCCTGGATTTTAGGGAATGAAATTCACTAGTCTTCTTACTAATAATATAGTCAATAAGGGCCTCCGGATAGCCGTTACTGAGGAAAATCTCCCTAATGTTTTCAAATTCACGGTCCAATCTAATAGAGAACAAATTTTAAGCGCTCTATACAATTGGGTTTTAACAAGATTGATTTTCCTTGATGCAGGAGCAAATGAACACCAATTCAAATAGAGACCCGTAAAGGTGAGTTTACGATAGAAAGAAAACCACCTCTACTGCGTTCAACAAAAACGTCCAAAAAAGGCAGACAGTTGTCCTTCTCTCCTTCCATAGTGAAGGACAAACCATTGTGTAAAGAGTTGAGCTCATTAAAGAACTCAACAGCCTCACTTTCGTTAGAAAAAGTTGCAAAAGTGTCATCGACATACCTGACATAAACAAACGGTTTAGACACTTTGCCGAAAAGTAACATCTCGTGGTAGCCCACAAAAATATCAGCCAATGGGGACTGCCCATCTGGACCCCATCCACTTGACTATACATAACATTATCAAAACTAAACTCCACTGAACTGGTACATAGTATCATAAGTTCTATAAATATATCCTTAGGAAAAGGAGGTGGAGTAATGTTACCTTCGTATAAAAAGTCTGCACAGATATTAATAGTTTCCTTTAAAGGTACGTTGGTAAACAGACTGGACACATCAAAAGAACACATAAAATCAGTATCAGGGCAAGACTGTATGGCCTGTAAGAGTTCAACAAACGTGAACGAATCAGGTATACAATGTTTAGCAAAAAATGTTTGGACCGGTTGTATGACCTGCTCTTCATTGTCGTTAATATTCTTTTCGGTGATCAATTATCCAACGATTGTCTCCTGATGAGATGTTGGTTGAAAGGGCCTTAGAGACTTTTAAAATTAAAATCAATACATTCCTTGTTTTTAAAACTATATATATATATATAAACTTTATTTTTTATGGATACTCATATTATAGTAGAAGCCCTGTTTTTAATTAAACAGGTAGATGCAGTTTTATCCGACTGCATTTACCGGCCTGAATATTCGAGAAATCTTGTTAGAAAAATATGCATCCTCCGGCAGGATTCGAACCTGCATCCCCTATGTATGTATACTCGAACGTATGGATGTTTATCTGCGCCTAATCTCGGATTGTTCATGTGTGTGTGTTTGTATCAACTAAAATGTATATGCCTATATGTATGTATGTATGTATGTGTGTGTGTGTGCGAGTGTGTCATCCCAAAATGGACACATAGGAGAATTCCCCCCTCCCACCACTAGACAAAATCAAACAAGCATAAATAGATTCAATTGTTAAAAAATAAACTAGTTTGTCTGATGATCGCAAAAGCGTGAAACTTAGGGTCACAAGCTCATATCCATACAACTGAATATACACACACATATATATATATATATATATATATATAGTCACCCCACACAAATAGTTTCGCAGCTCATCAGTGTGGCTAGACAATCGTTTGAGGCCGGAACCGAAACCCAACCGAATTATTACCAGTCCGAGATTCCTACCCCTAGGCCATCGACGCTCGAGAGAAAGGAAAATTTTTCAGTATTTATTTTTTCATAAACACACCAGTCACTCAGAGAACTCTACCCTTGCTCGGAGAAGTATAAATAATAAGTATAAATTTATATGTACCGTATATCCTCGCGTATCATACGACCTTTGAAGTCCTAATTTTGGCTACAGTAAAAGAATATATAGTTTGGTCAACGGCGTTGCCAAGGCCAAGCAGCACATACGCTAATTTTATATCTCGTGGTTGATGTAACCCTTTTAAAATTAGCTTCAAAATTACGTCATCAAAAGTCGCATGATACGTGACTATATAAGGTATATATTTTAATATATAAAAAATACTTTTTTCTTATTAGTTCACTTACTGTAAATTTGATTCAATAAAAAACATTCGCCAATGAATAAGTATTATTTCTACGTCACCACTATGTTTTGAATATATATCCTGTGAGTGTCAAATTCTCTAAGCTCTCTTTCCTCATTATGTGTCACAGAAATTTCAACTGTTTCTCTCGGATTTTAAGTACAAGTGTCCTTTTTGTTTTCATTTCCCTTAAAGCTTTTGTCGTTGCTCGCTGTAGATAATAACTGAGATCGTTGCAAGTACTTGAACATAACAAGAAAGGGCATGAACTTTACACAGTTTATTCGTACTTATAATCCCGATATACAATATATAATATAATATTGGTTCTCTTTATTCAGAATAGAACCTATGTGAATATAAGAATAAAGCCTATGTGAATATAAGAATACTGCGTTCAAACACGGAACAGATTGTCGCCATTTGGTCTTGATATGTTGTGTTCACACTGCTTAGAGATCATGACTCTTTAAGACATACGAGATCATGGTTCTCCACATCTTCCCATAATTTTTTTTTTTTTTTTCAACAAGACATTCTAGAGGTTATTAGGCTAAAAGAAGACAAACAATTTCTATCGAAATTTGAACTTTGCCGATTTCGTGCGCAGAAAAGTATGGATTCCTGCCTTTCGTTCACAGGCAGTTATGGATTTATATCTTTTCTAAGGGAATTAGCGATAACAAACAAAAGGTTCGGCCCGTCATGGATCACCGCGAGTTCAATGAGCATGTAGATGCATATACAGCCAGCGCAGACGTATGCGCACACAAATTAAGAGAGTGGCGGCAGCAAGGTTCAGACGTCGCTGTGTTGGACTTGCGCCGGGCCTATTTGCAAGTTCACGATGAGAAGTCCTTGTGGCCATTCCAGACAGTAGAAATCAAGGGGGAAAGATACTGCCTCACTCACTTGGGGTTTGGGCCTAACGAGGCACCCCTGATAATGCGGTCCATCGTTAACACCGTGGTTGCGCAAGATGAGAACATCAACGAAGCTACATCTTCATACATTGATGATGTATTCGTCAATGATAACATATGTGCTTCATCCCGCATAAAAGAGCACCTTGAGAGGTTTGGGCTTACGTGTAAGGCCCCAGAGAAGTTACGGAGCGGCACACGCGTGTTAAGATTGCATGTCTAGGAGGAGCGCAACAAGCTTCAGTGGAAGTAAGCTGCCGACGTTGCCCGGTGTATTAACACGTCGAAATATTTTCTGTGTGTATGGGAAATTGACGGGACATTTTCCGGTGTGCGGCTGGCTACATGTTGCGAGCGCATTCATAAAGCGTAGATCAAGTGCCGTGACAATTGGATGGCACGATAAAGTACGAGACCCTCTCCTGAGCCGGATGTAGGCGGACGCTTTCGCCAGAGTGGCGCAAACAGATCCAGCGCATGGGGATTGGTACATTGATGGATAGGATGTCACTGTATGGGTGGACGCGAGCTCATTAGCCACTGGTGTCATAATTTAGAGCGGTGGAGCCGTGGCTCAAGATGCTAGTTGGCTGCAACCAGTAAGTGACGATAAGCACCTGGCAGAAGTCGATACCTCGCACTGCAGTGGAAAGCAAAGGTGATTCACCTGAAGACAGACTCGGCGTGCGGGCATCGCTGGGTCTCAGACACAAGTCGAGGGTACGAATCAAGGCTGTCACCAAGATGCTGGTCAGGCGCCAACTCGGAACGCTTCGACATATGGCCTCAGAATATGAGCTGAAGATTGACGTGGCATTGGTTAAGTCTCATGATAACCGGGCTGATCAGCTCACTAGAGTGCAGTAGCAATGGCTGGATGATATTCAGAAAGAGACGGAACCTGTAGAACGAGCGTGCGCTGTGGCTGCAGAAGGCGAGGAGTCTGCTCGTATACGAGACATTCATCAATCTAGTGGACAACTCGGTGTGAAGTGCACACTGTACTTTGCAAAATTGGTTATCCGCGGAGTTTCAAGAACGGCTGTTCGAGATATAGTCAGGGATTGTAGGGAATGTCAATCCATAGGTCCTGCCCCGGTGCATTGGAAGCCAAGCAGGCTTTCTGTACGCGACAATAGATGTGACCCATGTCGTGGGCCGGCACTACCTAACGCTGATAGACTGTGGTCCAAGTCGGTTTGCCATTTGGAGGCCATTGCAGCGCCAAGACTCCACCAATATCATTCGGCAGTTGCAGGCAATCTTTTTCGAAAGAGGACCGCAAATTGAACTGCTTGCCGACAATGCTGCAGTGTTTTGTGGGGAAAGATTCACAAGACTTGCAAAGGAATGGGGCGTCCGGATAAGATACCGGGGAATGGAGTAGAAAGATCCCAGCGCACGATAAAGCGCATCGCCGCGAGAACACAATGCTCTCTTACGGAGGCAGTGTACTGGTATAATGTGACACCACAGGATGACACCACTGCTTCAACTTAATTTATACCTACCGCACTCGGGTGAAGGAAATTGATAACACACCACCGCCTGACGTCGCAGGTCCTGGAACATACACTACAGGAGATGTTGTTTGGATGAAGGGACTGCATGGGCGGTGTACACAAGGTTAGAAAAGGGGAAAGTGACGAAAGTTTATGGCCCTCATTCAGTCCTTGTAGACGAAGTACCATGCCATGTAAAAGATGTTCGCCCGGTGCGTGGGGTGGAGACTACCAGCAGCCATGATACCACCTCAGATGAAGAAACCTCTATGGTGTATGAGGGGCAGATGCAGGAAGACACAACTTCAACGGAAAGTGCAAGTCGCGACCCCGAACGAGATCAACTCAGCGATACGTCAGAGGAAAGTACAACTGAGAAAATAGCCGAGCCCGTTCCACTGAGACGAAGTAGCTGGACAAAGCGACAAGCACCGTGCTGCCATTTGTGTGATCCTCAGATCAGGGAGGAGTGTGATTGTCGTGAGCAAGATCGTCGACATCATGCCCGAAAACGCCCACGCATTGCATGCGTATGGTGTCGCAGAGCAATTAAAAGAAAAGAAAATTAAATATGTAAAACTCTTCCACTCAACCAATCGGCATGGTCTATAAAGTGTGTGTGAAGGCTTTGGCAGTGGTGGGGGGGACTGTCCTGAACGAGAGACGACTGCCCTGTTCCACTGGGTCCTTTTTGGCGTGAAGGCTTCAGTCATTTTCCTACCGCCATGAAGTGGCTTCGCTCTGTCTTTTCTAAAAATATTTTCAAGGCAACTCTTCTGACGAGCTTTTTTCCCTGATGCCTCGTAGATTGTAATCATCAGGGAAGAAACTAATCGGAAGGGAATTCCACATGCAGGAAGTGCAAGAAATGAAACTGTTAGAGTAGAAGTTGCGATTGTATCTAGCTAGTTCAACAGTAAAATGGTGAGACTAAGTTATCAATCAAGTAGCAACGCTTAAATTCATGTAGTCGAGGCATCAGGAAAAAAAACTCGTCAGAACAGTTGCCTTGAAGATCTAGAATTGAACATCAATCGCTATCTTGTCTTCTTGAAACCTTTACATTTTTTGTCCATTTCTCAGTCTTCTCTTTCACTTTCACTTTCACTTTATCTATAAAACCCTAAGTTTTAGCGGCATTATCGTCACGCTTGGGGTGAAACGAGGAAAAAAAAGAATTAAAAAATGCAACGTATCAATGAGACGAAACTTACAGAAATTGGTTATATCTTCCTACCTATCGTTTTCTGATCATGTGGCAAATCCTTGCGTGTTTTTCTGTATGACAAAAAGACCGACATCTATTTTATAGACGATAAAAAAGAAAACGAAAATTTAACCCCGTCGATTTAATAAAGCATTAAGAAAACCGGAGAGTAGAACGGCTGAAACATTGTGATAATAACAACAAAGATGAGGACAACAGTCCGAATGTAAATAAGCTAAATAATTATAAATCCTAATTCCAGAATTTCAGAAAGAAAGATACAAAAAATATCGTTAATAACTGTGTCACTTTGAGACAAAGTCACACCCGTCAAATAGCACAAGTTCATTCCAGTGAAAAGCGTAGTATTTGGATACATTTTGAAATAGGGGGGGGACAAAGCTTGCAGTATTTTCCCTCTTCAAAACATAATGTCATATTTTTGCATCTACAGGTCCTAAAATAAATACCGTATTTTACTTTTAGCCACGAGAAACCGATGCTCATATTTAGATCTATCTTTCATAATGAGGAAACATGCTTACTCACCTGAAGTATACCAAATAACACATCGACTGAGATATATTCATACAAATAATATCCTTGAAGATACTACTTCGAATAACATATGGAATAAAATTAAGACGCCATTATTGTTGAAACGCACTCAATCTGATATGATCCAGTTGATCGATTAATCGATTATGCCGCTACAGATATTTAATGTCATTTTCGATTGATGGACTGAAATTTTACCAATAGGGAAATGTATCTGATATTTGATTGAAGTAACCTACACAAGAACAGATTGGAATCGGAAAGCGAATACAGAAGCGTGAAGACAGTCGTGTATTTGTTAAGTGCCGACAGAAAGCATTACACCACAAACCGCAAATTTGTTTGACCGCATATATCGATCACAATTTTCATTCACAAATGGTCATGTTTTGCTGATCATTAAACTTTCGAGAAAGATTAAGTAACCACATCGAGAAATCGAACATAACATCTGTCTCGTGACTGAAATAATTATATATTTACGATTGGAGCCAGAGGTCGGTGTTCGAGTCTGACTAAGCAGCTTATATTTCCACCGTTGATTTTCTAGGCAGATATCTTCTTTCCTTACTTAGGAGATTGATATAACATTATTTAGCTCCTGTGTTTTCTTCATCAAGTTTTGCGTTTAATAATTTAATTACAAACTTGACATGTCTAAGTTAAGAGTCAATCATTACCTTTACGCCATGCCCAGGTAATCTTCACTTCCTACGTCTTATACCGCACCTCATTCACTAACCCTCTACATGGCTCTTGGATCTTGTAAGCTATATTTACAAAAAGAAAAAAAACATTCGTGTCGTCAGGTAAGCACCTGTACTATAAACCGTATTAGTGTGTCTAGGGGAAATTAGACTGGCGGAGTCTACACCTCTTCAGTCTGGCTTCGTATTTAGAGTTGACTTTATAAACTGTTTGTCAGCTAATTCTTGCGAGTCCAGTATCTTCTGTGAATAACTCCAGGATGAGGTGGATTCATGCCTTTGCAAGAGTATTTGTGCAAAAATGAATACAACGGTATCGACTGACATTTGAACCCGGTACCTTATAATCACTATGCTACTAGCAAATCTATTTATTGTCACTATGACATTAAAGCACCCGATGTAATTTGAATTCCCTATCCTATCGATTTTTGCGAGACGATCTTGTTCCGTCGAATACACTGTTCTGCCATTGAAATGAGGAGCCGCTTGTAGAAAAATACAAGTCCAAATAAATCACGCAATAAAAAAAAACAAGTTTGGAAATAAAATTTGCAAGAAAAACTTTGACTACAGAAAGGAAGAATGGAAATAAAACAATCCTCCCTAATGCTGTTTATTTTAAATGTTTGTTTCCTTCATCAATCGTAATTTATTTTTTTATTTTTTGGTCCTGAATAATTTCTTCCATTTCGTCTGTTTTATTTTTTTCAATTTCTGGCTATTCTCCAGGAAAGCCTCGTTTTCATTCTGTTTTGTTTTAATTGATATATTTATTTTCACTTTTTTGTCTCAGGTTTCTTCTAAACAAATACGACTTGATTGATGTACTAAAGTTTCTTTTATTTTTCCTTTTTCTTTCTTTTCTTTATTACTTTTTCCATTTCACAATTTTAGGTTTATTTTCTATTTGCTATTTTTGTTCTTTTTTTTCTCTTTCTTTTGATCAATTGCTTTGTTTTTATTACGAGTTAAATTCTTCCTTTTTTTTCTTTTGATTTTCATTCCTTTCCTTTAACCTTTTCCCTGACATTCATAATTATTGTCTCTCAATTTTTTTACATTTTTCAAATATTTTTCGTTCAGTTTTTTGGTTTTTCTTTTTTTCTTCATTGTATTTCATTCTTTTCTTACATTCGTCGTTTTTTCCTTTAACATTCCTTCTCTTCTTCTTTATCTGCTAATTTCAGTTTTCTTTGTCTTCTTCATTTGTCGCTTCTTCCATTTTCTTTCATTTATGCAGTTATTGGTTAATTTTCGTTTTCTTTCCATAAGACATTTTTTTAGACTTTTGTTTGTAACGGTTTCCATTGTTAGAGAATAAACTAACATTCAGTTATCTCCCTTTCATTGACGTTACTTCTTCATCGCGCAAATAGATATTTATCTTTTTATTTTATCTTTTCAATAAACCAATAATTTAAATCTATTTACATAATATGATATCGTCCTACCAGACCATTTCTGACTCCTGGCGGTAATATTATATCCAGAGTTAGTTTCTTTATCTTTAATATCTATCATCAACATTTCGACCGATATATTTTTCAACCTTCCTAAAGTCTATGTTACAACCGGTGATCTTGAGATGTTTCCTTTTTCTTATCCTGTCCCTTTTTAAAGACAACAGAAAAGCCAACAGAATATCAGTTTCATGTGAAACGTAATAACCGTCGAGATTAGATGATAATAGTCTACTTAAGAAAATGATCTACTTGTTGGCTGTGGGTACTTTGAAAGTGTCCACAGTGCCATAGTTATTCAAATTATCTTATACTGACCACTAGAAGAGGGATGATGGCTGAAGATCTTATACAAAATATTGAGTTAAAAAAAAGACGAAAAATGACGAGAATATTCTAAGAAAAAGAATGATGAAAATATATTTGCTGGTGCCAATCTGCGCTGGGAATGACTGCAAAAATAACCCCTCCCCCAAATTATCGACAAAATATACAGTTGCATGCTGGGATTTCGTCCTAGCCAATAAGATAGGCCACTTCACGGTCTCATCCGGCTTGATTTTGTTCTTTCTGCGATCGCTTGTCTGTATCCCCTTTTGTGTGTCAACACCATTCTTAATTTCATTATGTTGCTCTACCTTTCATGTATTGTTTCCTCAAAATCATTTAGGGCATTTAACTATGACCAATTACTCCACGACTTCGTCTAAAAACAAGACTATAAGGTTTTCTTTTGAAGTGGACCTGATTCGGGAATATTAACAAATCCACATTGATATAGCAAAGTTCAAATGGCTCTGAATTTTGATATTAACAGGTAAGATATTAGGTTTGTTATTAACAGGTAAGATTATACATTCTTATTGCATATTTCTTTGCGATGATGAAAAAGTTAGAATCTCTTGTCAGCCCTCAATATATGAAACCTTAACAACATCCATAGCAAAATAATATCCTACAAAAATTGTTCAAAACCAATTCTTCGCTATTTTTTACGAGCGGACCACTTATTTTAAATAGTGCACACAAGTTCTATACTTGAAGTTTTCATTAATTTCGATGTTCTTAGTTTTGCATTTATTCATGCCAAATATGTTAATCCCTCTTTTTTCCTTCCTTCTTTTTCTTATTTTTTCTTATTTCTTACTTATCTTCTTATCTCCACTTCCCTACCTTTTGCTCACTTAATTACATTTGCTAGAATTGCCAAAAATAAATACTCGACACTGTTCAAATTTAGATCCTAAAGATTTTCGATTATATTTTTTGTATGCAGCCATATTAGTTTACAACAATTTACATACTTTTATTCAAATTATGAACAGTTGTGATTTAAATTAGAACAACGTGTCAAGGAATAAAAGATTTTTGCATTTGGAAAATCTCGTAATTCTTTCCTTAACTCATACTTTTCTTATGTTCTTCTTTTCAAACTCATAAAATCTGAGCTTTTCTCTTACATTACACTTCCTTCTCCGCATATCTTCTTTTTTTTTCACATTTTTAACTTTCTTTCCTTCATCCATTTCTACATCCGGGCTCGTCGGCATGAAGTAGTGGTTAGCGAGCTATTCTTGTTGATTATGAGTTGTTCGATCTTCTTTGGGAACTTTATACTTGTGAATTTTTGCCAAACTTCTTTCTCTTCCTTATTCTCTTAATAACTTTCTCCTTATACTTTCTTCATCCGTTTTTCCTTTTTTCTTTCTCCGCCATTTTTTATTTCCTTTCAACTTTCCACTTAGGTCGAGTCACTTATCTCTCTTTTTCCAACACGTCTCACCATATTTACAACTAATTCTCCCATAATATACCCTGTTCTTCTGCTACTACTTTTTTCTTTTTCTCTTTCCTAATTTATTCTCTACTAGCAGTAGAGCCCGGCGTTGCCCGGGATGTAACAGCAAGAGATAGATCAAATATCGACCATAATAAAGACTGAAAAATAAAATTGACAAAGATTATTGTTTAAGGTTGACGGACACCCATATCTTAATTAATTTTTTTTTTGTTTTTTTGTTTTTTGTTTTTTTTTTACGAATTAATCAAACCCAAACTCAAACAAAAACATTGTTTTCAATCGTTATGAGTCTACAGATTGAATAGATAAACAATTGTCTTGTAAATGGAATTTTTAATGCATTCTGAATGTAAAAATAAAGAAAAAAGTGTGCAAGACAATAAGAAACACTACCTGCCAAAAAAAAGTGAAGTTTTGTTGAAATCGGTTGAAAAATGTATAAAAACGAACACACACACACACACACACACACACAAACAACCTGGGTTTTATAATAAGTATCACTCGATATGAGTTGTCTCCCTTTCATTCTGGCGACAGTGATGCCTCTTAATCGTGTTTTCAAATCGATTTCGTGCAAAAACAATTGTGTTTTTCCAATTTTTGGCGCTGTCAGAACCACCGCAAGGTGATTTTACGTAGTCCTGTGAAGTTTTGTTGAAATCGGTTGAAAATGTAGGAAATCCGATCCAATATATAAACGAACAGACACACACACACACACACACACACACACACACACACACACACACACACACACACACACACACAACCTGGGTTTTATAATCAGTATAATTCTCTACGGATTTCTCTCTCTCTCTCTCTTTCTCTCTCTCTCTCTCTCTCTATATATATATATATATATATATATATATATATATATATATATATATATATATATATATATATTTCAACTCTCCTGTCGAATTCGACGTATGATGGTCAAGCATCTCAATTCCTAAGAACTGACAGCCCGATACCATCACATCTGATTTGATTTTTTTATAGTGGTGAAGGTTTTGTGCAGAACCATCCATACTTTTTGAAGGGCCGAATACAAAGACCTGGTGCACTACTTGCCACAAGGTTCCCAAACGACCCTCCGCAGGTTTTGAATTCAGAGTTTTTCTTCTCCTAGACCAGTTGCCATCCAAGGCTATAGAACCCAGTCTGTCCAGCTATTTACTCATAGCTGGAGAGGATTCAAAACTTTCCCAAGGGTGTTAACAAGTAAGTGAATGTAATGGATATATATATATATATATATATATATATATATATATATATTCTCTCAACTCTCCCGTCGAATTCGATGTATCAGTATCAAGCAGTTCAGTTCCTAGTAGGAACCGACAACCCGACACCAGCACATGAGATTTCATTATAGAAGTGAAGGTTTTGTCCAGAACCATCCACACTTTTTGAAGGGCTTAATACAGAGGCTTGGTGCACTACATGCCACAACGTCCCTAAACGACCCTCCGCAGGTTTTGAAAACCATTTGCCATCCAAGGCTATAGAACCCATTCTGTCCTGCTATTTACCCATAGGGAGAAGAAGAGGATTCATACCTTTCCCAAGGGATTTAGCACGTAAGTGAATATAAAGGATTCGACTGAATTCGAACTCAACTCACCAACTCTCCAATCAAAAGCCTCCACTGTGCCTCCTTACCACTCTCTCTCTCTTATTATATATATATATATATATATATATATATATATATATATATATATATATATATATATATATCCCTACGCCTTCAATTTTTCTGTCATCTCTTTTCTTTTCTATACCTTTCTTTTCCGACCCAAGATCTGTTTTCTTACCATTTTGAGCCTCATGGCGTATCCACGTCGTAAGAAATATCTCTTCATGATACCAGTTGTTAATTTCTGTAAATAATCTCAACTGTTCATTGCATAATAGTGTTGGGGCATGTTATTCCGCATCTAAAAACTTGCTTTGTGTTTAAAAATACATCGAATCTAAAGAGTAGTGATTTTTGAAAGTCTAACACACTCATTATTGTAAAAATAACTGCTAAATATATATAATTTTTTTTGCAAATGTCGAAACGAAAGTATCCAGTTCCCACACAAAAACCTCGTCTTTATTTTGTATAATGTATGCGCATTCCGTGGGCTTACAAATGATTTGAAAGCAATTTTAGGAGTACCGCTGTATGTCAAAAAAAAAGCTTAATAAACGTGGTATTAAATTAAAAGCTGTATTCTTTCCAAATTACATTTTACGATGATAGAATCCAGTTGTTAAATTGCTTACAATTAAATGTGGTAGTGAATAATTCATTTTTCTTTAAATGATTTACGTAATAAATAATTACTATAAAGTCTTCCAGTGAATAAAAACTCAAAGAATCAAGGTGAGAGCTCATTTATATTTAAACAAGGTTTAAAACACATGAAGAAAAAATAGTTGATACGCAATTTTAACAACTGAATGTAGCACAGGTGTTTGCTGAATTTTTTGTATGACATCATTTTTGATATTCCTGTAGACGGGATATGATTAAAAAATCTTGGAACTGTTGCTATGGTAACGTAACTAAAATACGCAGAAAAAGCCGCTTGGCACACATTGACCTTTAACTTTGTTGTACACACATTTTCGCTTAGTCCTGTTGTTTATGGTAGTGCTTGGTAGAAAGGTGTGTAGAGTGTGGTTGTCTCACCACACTGCAGAGATTCTGTCAATGACGATGGCTTGTTCAGTAGCTTGGAGGACAAACACACCATTGCCCAGATATGTGTGTAGGTGTACATTGAATTTAAAAAGCAACTGTGAAAGTTCTTTTCGATGTCCTGAAATCTTGTTCCTTTCAAGTGGGTTTTTATTTTTGAAAAGGAAAAAGTTACAAGAGGTAAGATCTACGGAATAATAGTGGTTGTCGGATCTGGATGAGTCTAATGATGATTACGAAGGTGTTTGATCATTAGTGATGACCCGTTATGCCTACATTCATCTTCACACAGGGCCTCAACAGGGACACAACACGAAGGCCTACATCAAATGCCTTGAAGAGGTAGTGCTACCCCGAGTCAAGATGGTGGCTGCTGAAAGACCCTATGTCTGCCAACAGGACTCTGCACCATGCCACACAAGAAGGAGAAATCCGTCATAACTGTCAGACAATTTCTGCGACCATCATCCCTGAAATCTAGGCACTTAATTCTCTAGACTGCAATCACCTTCATTATTATGTGGAGGGAGTTGAGCAAAAGACCAGAAAAACTCTTTGTAATACGAAAGATGAACTGAAGACAAGGATTTTTGCAGCATTCGCCAACTTAAACAAAAATACCATCCAGAAGAGTTGCAGGAGATTCCGAAATCATCTGGAGGCTGCTCTGAGTAATTGTAACTTTTGTGGTTGATTATCCTCCCTATTCTCCTGATTTGACTATCATCTGTTCCCCAATATTAAAAAAAAAGCTGGTTTGTAAACAGTATTGCAGTGAGATCTTTTTGTATCTTTTCCGATAATCCCTTCGTATAGGGGGGGGAGGCAGAACCTTTTCTTGTATTCTTTATAATTTGTATGTGATTACGACTTTGACTCTTATTACTTCTGTTGTTATTTTAGGTTATACAATTTTCATTATTACTAATTTGTTACCAGTTTTAATAAGATTAAGTTAAACTAATATTAAAATGTAATCGTAAAATAGTGTCCGGCCATATTAACAAGTTATCATTTGAGTTACTTCTCAGTGGCATCGCAAATTAGAGTACCTTATTTTAAAACATATCCCCCCCCCCACGCAAAAAAAAAAAAACTGGCAGATAATGAAATTTAAGATATATTAATTATAGTGAAATAGGTCATGTCATTACTTCCAAAATATATTTTCCTTGGTAAAAGAATTTCTGAATTACATTATCTAGATCAGTGGTCAGCAAACTTTTTTTTTCCCAGAGGGTCAGATAACTGAGAAAATGATGAGTGCCGGACGGATAACCATTTTGTTCAATACAATACACTGAATGCATAAAAAATAATGAAAACAAACTATTGTGAGACCGGAAACTACCTACACAATAGACTCTTCCAGGCCTATATTAAGTAGTCGACAGAGCACTCTAGAGAGTGACAGAGAGACAGTGAGAGTCTAGTATGACTACCAGTATTGGACACTAACATATAGTAAGCTCCGCTTACACTATCTCTGTAACCTGTTGTTAATATATCTTTCTTACATCTAATCCGTGTTCCGTGTTTTACTTCTGAAAAGATTGACATTTTAGGCGAGGTAATACTTACAGTAACACTAAATGGAGTTACCAAAAAGCTCAAAGCCTACGTATTAAAAACTTCAGATAACTTATTTGGAACTGATTGGATAGAAAAATTCAATCTTTGGGATTGCTTAATGAGTACATTTTGTCGCAAGATACAAAGTACA